ACAAGTACATACAACAAATAATCCAAAAGAAATTCCAATAAAAACCCGAAAATACTGCAATTTAAAGGATTTTGTTTGTGTGACTAAGAAAGAAATGGCCAATCGACATTTAAAGCTTTCCCAGCTAATCTTAATGATCATTTTGTTTGTTAAATGTTCTATTTACTGCCTTAATAATGGCATAAATCCTAACAAGGAGGAATATTTGGCTTTATATCGTACAATTAATGGCAATTCAATACCTTTATTCCAGTAGGAAGCCAGAATTTCTGTTTTTCTCAGTTCTGAGTTTACTCATTTGTCTCCACCAAAATCCAAATAGAGTTGCTTTTTGGTACTCCACCCTGTATTAAAGAAATTGCAATAACCTTGCAATTTTTTGCTTTAAAATAGCCACTGCAACAATATTGGTTGGTGTCCTTGCTAAAACTAAAACAGGGTTGTTTAGCTTTTAAAAAATGTTTAGCCAAAATGGATGAAATCTATCCCGGATCAAAAATCCAAGTTCATATTCGGATTCTCCATGCAAAATCACCAGAAAGCAAGCTTTCCAGCCAAATCGGCCAAGTATTTACGGAGATAAAAGCAAAATTTCTTAAATCCACAAAATAAAAAAATGCCAACAACAAAAAGTTGTAACTTAGCTAAGGCAACAACAACAACTTAAATAATTTTTCCTTAATTTTAGTTTTTTGCTTTTTTCTCCCAAATTACCGGCGGAATTTGGCTGGAAAGTTTGCTTTCTGGTGATTTTGCATGGAGAATCCGAAAATGTACATGGATTTTTTATCCGGGAAAGATTTCATCCCTTTTGGTTCAACAATTTTTTCTAAGCCAAATAACTCTGTTTTAGTGGATTTTCAATGCCTCCCTAAAGCCGGCAACACATTTTTTACGCATTAATAAATTTTTGTTCATTTGCTAAATCTAAAACAGAGTTGTTTGGCTTAGAAAAAAATGTGGAAACAAAATGCATGAAATCTTTCCCGGATCAAAAAACTAAGCTCATTTTCGGATTCTCCATGCAAAATCACCAGAAAGCAAGCTTTCCAGCCAAATCGGCCCAGTATTTACGGAGATAAAAGCAAAATTTTTTAAATCCACAAAATAAAAAAATGCCAACAACAACAAGTTGTGACTTAGCTAAGGTAACAACAACAACTTTGTCATTTTCTGTCGATATTTATTTTTTTGCTTTTATCTCCGTAAATACTGGGCCGATTTGGCTGGAAAGCTTGCTTTCTGGTGATTTTGCATGGAGAATCCGAAAACGAGCTTAGATTTTTGATCCGGGAAAGATTTCATCCATTTTGGTTCAACATTTTTTTCTAAGCCAAACAACTCTGTTTTAGATTTAGCAAACGCACAAAAATTCATTAATGTGTAAAAATGTGCTGCCGACTTTAGGGGGGCATTGAAAATCCACCAAAACAGTTATTTGGCTTAGAAAAAAATGCTGAACCAAAATGCATGAAATCTTTCCCGGATCAAAAATCCATGTACATTTTCGGATTCTCCATGCAAAATCACCAGAAAGCAAGCTTTCCAGCCAAATTCCGCCGGTAATTTGGGAGAAAAAAAGCAAAAAACTAAAATTAAGGAAAAATTATTTAAGTTGTTGTTGTTGTTGCCTTAGCTATGTCACAACTTTTTGTTGTTGGCATTTTTTTATTTTGTGGATTTAAGAAATTTCGCTTTTATATCCGTAAATACTGGACCGATTTGGCTGGAAAGCCTGCTTTCTGGTGATTTTGCATGGAGATTCCGAAAATGTGCTTAGATTTTTGATCCGGGAAAGATTTCATCCATTTTGGCTAACAACTTTTTTATCAGCCAAACAACTCTGTTCTAGTTGAATTTTTTGCAACATCCTTAAAGTATGCTGTACAATTTAGATCAGTTTGTGTTCGACTCAGACAATGTTTTGTTATGAAGTTTGTTTATAGTCATTGTTTTAAGTCCTTAGCTTCAAACCAGGAAAATTCCTAAGAAATTACTGGGGATTTGTGTGAATATAAGATTTCTTATTAAATTTCATGATAATCTGCTATTAACAAAAAACTCTGTTTGTTTGTTTATTTGTTTTGATAAAAAGAAGCCTGTCTTAAAAAACTAGAGTAGCCAGATAGTTTGTTTTGAAGTCTGTGTTAATAAAACAGTGCAGCCAAATGTTTTCTAGGAATAAAACGCTAATTAAACGGTTTAATGTTAAAGAAAGAGTTTTAAACCTAAAATTAAATGAAAAAACTAAATGATTATGGTTTTTTTATCAATAAAATGAAAAATTTTGTATTTGTATTTAAAATATTTGATAAAAAAAAACTAAAAAGTTATTAAAATTGTTGGTATTTTGTTATACTGCATTTTTGTTGCGCTCTTTTTTTTAAGAAAATCATTATTTATGTTGTTTTTTTTTTTGGAACAAAAATTATAATTTAATAATTTTAATTGTATTTATTCCATATTGTTATTTAGTCTTAAGTTTATTTTGAAGGCTTTTAAATGAGATGATAGCTTTTAGATGATTATTTTCTTTTCATATGTTTAATGCTAGAGAATTTTAGAAAGTTTCTACTAAATTTTGCTTTTAGAAAAAGTCGGAATGATTTAAAAATTTAAAGCAGGAATTTTGTGCAAAAAAACGGGTTAAAAATTGGAAAAAGCTAGTTTTCTGTATAGACAATATTCAACAGAATGCGGCTATAGAGAATTACTGTATAAAAGTTTTCTTTTTTACAGAAAATCTCCTGTATAACACCTTCTTTATGTAGAAAATTTTATACATAAACATTTTAAACAAAAAAATTTCTGTATAACAGTGTTTTCTGAAGAAAATGTTCTGTATATTAGTTTATATAATAGTTTTTCTATAGAAAATTTTTCATAGAACTGTATTTTCTATAGAATTTTGATAGTATAAATGTTTTTCTAAAGAAAATTTTTTGTAAAACGTTTTTTTTTTTTTATTTTTCTGTATATAAGTTTTTTCTTTAAATATTGTACTGTATAACAGTTATTATTATAAAAATATTCTGTATAACAGTTTTTTCCATAGAAATTTTTCAGTAAAACTCTTTCTATAAAAGTTTTCTGTATAACAAACAGCTGTTTTTCATAAAAGATTTTCATTAAAACAGTTATTTCTATAGAATTTTTTCCCTATAACACTTTTCTATGGAATTTTTCTTTGTATAACAGTTTTTTTCTTTAGAAAATTTTCCAAATAACAGTTTTCTGTTTAAAAATTTTATGTATTGCAGCTTTTCTATATAAATTTTTCTGTATAACACTGCTTTTTATAGAATTTTTTGATGTATAGCAGTTTTTTCCTTAGAACATTTTCAAAATAAAAGCTTTTTTCCACAAAAGATTAGCTGTATAACAAATTTTTATACAGAAACTTTTCTGTATAATAGTTTTTTCTATAGAAAATGTTCATATTAATAGTTTTTCTATAGAAAATTTGTCTTTTTTTTACAGAAAGTTCTCTGTTCAACAGTTATTTCTTAAACAATTTTTAAAATAACAGTTTTTATTACAAAATATTATCTGTATAACAGTTTTTTCTATAGAAATGTTTCTGTATAACAGTTTTTTCCTTAACAAATTTTCCATTTAACCGTTATTTGTATAGAAAAATTTCAAAATAACAGTTTTTGTTTTAGAAATGTTTCTGTATAACAGTTTTTTCTACAGAAATTTTTCTGTATAACAGTTTTTTCTTTAAAAAATTTCCTATTTAACCGTTATTTCTATAGAAAAATTTCAAAATAAAAGTTTTTGTTCTAGAAATTTTTCTGTATAACAGTTTTTTCCTTAACAAATTTCCCATTTAAGCGTTATTTCTATAGAAAATTTTCAAAATAACAGTTTTTTCTTTAACAAATTTCCTGTTTAACCGTTATTTCTATAGAAAATGTTAAAAATAACAGCTTTTGCTCTAGAAATTTTTCTGTATAACAGTTTTTGTTCTGTATAACAGTTTTTTCTATAGAAAATTTTCTGTTTAACACTTTCCTTAACAAAAGTATTTCTTTATAAAACAGTAAATATTCTATTCAACAACTTTCCGTCAACAATAATGTCAGTATAACAGTTTTTTTCTATTGATTAAACGAAATTATTTTGAACGCTAAATGGTATTGTGTTAAAAAAACCGCTAGTATTCAAAATTTTTAGGTTTTCAAAACTTATAGTTGTGTATTTTTTTTAAGTTCACTTTGTTAAACAAAACGCTCATCAAAAAAACATCTCAAATTGTGTTTAAATTGTAATTTTTTTCTGTTTAAAATTTTATTTATTAATATTTGTTATTACTTTGTAATATGTATAAAAAAAAGCACCAGTAACAAACAAAAAAAATTAAAACAAATACTATTTTCAGTTTTATAATTTTTAGCTAAAAAAAAATATTTAATTATTATGATTATAAAAAGTTTAAAAACAAAACCAACAAACAAAGCAGTCGTATTCATTTTTTTCGAAAAAAAAAAATATAATTTTCAACAAAACTTTTAAGTTTTACCAACTTTTAGTTTAAATTTTGTGTTTAAAAAAAAACTTTGTTTTAAATTAAGTTTATAATCATTTCAAATTTTAATTATTTTGTTATTTTTTTAAATAATTTTTTATATAATTTTGTTAAATTGTTATAATTTGTTTATAATTTCTTTAAAAAATTTTAAGTTTTTCTTTTATAAAAAAAGAATTATAAAAAAAAATAAACCAGACTGATGAAAAAAAAGCTTTTTTGTTTTAGAAAAAAAGCTTTGCTAAAAAAATATTTCAAATATTTATAAAAATATTTATAAAAAATTTATATTTAAAAACAAAAATTTTAGAAATTTATAAGACTGAAAATTTATATTAAAAATAATTATATATAAAAGTATTTAAAGAAAAAAACCATGTGATATTTTATAAAAAAAAACAGTTTTTTACATAAATATATAATTGTTATAATTAAAAGTAATTTTAGCATATTTTTTTTTTAATAAAAATCATAAAATAATAAAAACCAAAAATATATTTAAAGACTTACCAATTGGGAGCAATATCATCTAATTGAGCATGTTTCCAAAAATCTCTTAATTCTTCCAATAGAAATGACACGGGCATACCATGGATATTACCCGAGGCAGTGGTGGAGTGTAAATTAATATCAGCATGAGCATCAACCCAGACCAAAGATAAATTGGGAGTGTGTTTTAAATGGCCAGCCACGGAACCTAAGTTTTTTTGTTTTCATTTATTTTTTTAATATATTTATTTATTTTCTTCTTTTGTTTTTGTAAAGTACCCACCAAAACCTATAGCATGATCACCGCCCAAACATAAGAACTGTTGTTGTTCCTGTAATATCTGTGGTATTTTCTCTATCAAGGCCTTATTGCAACTCATAAAGGAGGCATAGTTTTTCATATTTTTATAATAAGGAGATTCGGTTTCCGTTGAGGGGTCATATTTTAAATTACCATAATCGGTTATGGCTAAACGGCCTTTAATAAAGTTATTTGTTTAAAGAAAAAGATTTAAGTGTTTTATTTCTTTCTGTCATCTAAAAAGTAAGTATGTATGTATGTAACTATCTACCTCTGGCCGTTTCCTGTAAAATTTCTATTAATCCCTGTTCTCTCAATAAATCGGGAGCCAGTTCTACTCCTCCCTTGGTTTGACCCTTAGAAAATGGCACTCCTATTATGCCCAACTTGCTTTGCACTTCATTTTTGACTTTTTGTGTAGCAAAATTTCTTATTTGTAAAACACTATTTTTTAACATTTTATAAACACTTTCACTTTTCTTGAAATTTTTAGCAAATAAACAAACTACTTTAGCTGAATAATAAAATTTGAATGACTGCCTGTTTGTTTTTTTACAAATCAATTCTCAATATTGTTTTGAAATTGCTCTTCATATAGCTGATAAAGCTTAACTTCAAAGTGATAACCTTTGCCTAAAAACGTATTTAAGTTTCTCAATCTCTCATGATCTTTTTATAGATCTGCATGCTTTCGAAAAGAGAGCTTTGGTGTGAAGAGTAACCTTCGTTTTAAAAACGAATTGTATCATAAATATATATTATTACATGTTTTTTTTGAAAATCGTTATGTTTTAATCGAGACCATCCTCTAAAAATAACTTAAGGCCTGGGAATCATTAAGATGTTTCCATTTTCTTATCGCTAAAATGAACAAGAGTATGAATGAATAGTAAGTGTTGTCGGGAATTGAATAGAAATATTAATTGGGAATTAGGAATGAGAATTGGGATTAGATAGATAGATAGATAGCTATATAGAATAGATAGATAGATAGTAGATAGATAGATAGATAGATAGATAGATAGATAGATAGATAAGATAGATAGATAGATAGATAGATAGCTAGATAGTAGATAGATAGATAGATAGTAGATAGATAGATAGATAGAATAGATAGATAGAGATAGATAATAGATAGATAGAGATAGATAGATAGATAGATAGATAGATAGATAGATTATAGATAGATAGATAGATAGATAGATAGATAGATAGATAGATAGATAGATAGATAGATAGATAGATAGAGAGAGATAGATAGATAGATAGATAGATAGATAGATAGATAGATAGATAGATAGATAGATAGATAGATAGATAGATAGATAGATAGATAGATAGATAGATATAGATAGATAGATAGATAGATAGATAGATAGATAGATAGATAGATAGATAGATAGATAGATAGATAGATAGATAGATAGATAGATAGATAGATAGTCTAGTCTATAGTCTAGTCTATAGTCTAGTCTATAGTCTAGTCTATAGTCTAGTCTATAGCCTAGTCTATAGTCTAGTCTATAGTCTAGTCTATAGTCTAGTCTATAGTCTAGTCTATAGTCTAGTCTATAGTCTAGTCTATAGTCTAGTCTATAGTCTAGTCTACAGTCTAGTCTATAGTCTAGTCTATAGTCTAGTCTATAGTCTAGTCTATAGTCTAGTCTATAGTCTAGTCTATTATCTAGTCTATAGTCTAGTCTATAGTCTAGTATATAGCCTAGTCTATAGTCTAGTCTATAGTCTAGTCTATAGTCTATAGTCTAGTCTATAGTCTAGTCTATAGTCTAGTCTATACTCTAGTCTATAGTCTAGTCTATAGTCTAGTCTATAGTCTAGTCTATAGTCTAGTCTATAGTCTAGTCTATAGTTTAGTCTATAGTCTAGTATATAGTTTAGTCTATAGTCTAGTATATAGTTCAATAGTTCTGTAAATATACTAGTTCGGTCTAAAGTCTAGTATATAGTACAGTCTAGTTTATGATCTAGTCTAAAGTCTAGTCTAGTGTATAGTCTAGTTTATGTTCTAGTCTAAAGTCTAGTCTATAAACTAGTCTTTAGTCTAGTATATATTCCAGCTTATAGTCTAGTCTATATTCTAGCTTATTTTCTATTCTATTAACTAGTCTATAATGTAGTCTATAGTCCAGTTACAGAATTAGCACTAGTTTTTTACACATGTATATGCTAAAGAGAAAAAGTGATTCAACTATTTTTAAAAAGTATTGAAAATTTCAACCCTTTTGCTGTTTTTTAATAAAAATTGTACATAGTTTTTTTATATTCGTTATACATATATCTCGTTTATTTTTAAAATTTGTCTCTATATATATTACATACACACTTATGTATCAAAAACATATTTATAAATGTTTATTTTTAATTATTATTATTTTTTTTGCTTTAAATCTAAGATGTTAATTAATATTAAGGCTAAATTGAAAGACAGATTGAAAGGGCGGCTTTATGAAAAATCAATAAAGAGTTTATTTTGCTAAAAATTTTCTCTCAATAATTTTAAAATTTTAGGATTTTTAAATTAAAATTTGTTTAAATAAATTTTTTCAGTATAAGACGAATTGAGTCTAAAATTTGATTATATTATTTCCTTAACTTTTATACAAAAATTTAAGAATTTTTTTTTTTAATTTTTAGGCAGTTTTATTATAAAAACAAGAAAATTTAATAAAATTATGTTATAATTTATGTAAAAAAAATTAAACAGTAGTATTTTTTATAAATACCTACAACCTGTTTTGGGCGGAAATATTATAGTTTAAGGGACAAAATTTGTAAAAAAAATTGGAGTTTATAAAAGTTAATAAATAAATATTTGCTAATAATAAAAAAAGATTTTTAAAAAATTATTAAAAAAACATTATGGAATTTTAATCAGGTTTAACTTTTTTTAATAAATTTAAAAAGTTTTATTAAAAATTTTATAAAAAAACTTAATGGAATGTTGTTTTCTGTTATTTATATTAAAATTTTTCAAAAATAATATTAATTTTATAACCCTCTAATAAAAAGTTACAAAATTTTTAGGTTAGCAAATCGATTTTTTGAGGTTAAGTATTGAAATTAATAAAAATTTGGTGTTTTTTTTTTTAATTTTTATAAGAATTTACTACAACATACAGTTTGTTTGTTTGAAAAATTAAAAAAATTAAGATTTTTAGCTTAAAGAAGTTTATAGGTTAAAAAATTTTCAATTGTTTTTAAGGTTAGAAAAGTAAAATTTGTTAAAAACTTAGATTTTCTTTTAAAGTGTAAATAATTTGGAATGTTGGAACGAAAATTAAGTTTTAAAGACACTTTTCTAAATAAAAACAATCTTCAAAAGAGAATTTTCTATAAGAAAACAGTCGAAACGAAGACAATTTTCTATAAAGAAACTATACCCAAGAGAACTTTTGACAATAAAACTGTTTAAGTAAACACTTTTCTATAATAAAACTGAGATTAGGGAGATATTTTTCATTAAGAAAACTATCTAACAAAGACTATTTTTATAAGAAACCTATTTCCTGAAGACACTTTTCTATAAGAAAACTCTTTAATTAAATCGATTTAGAATTGTCTAACGCAGATAGTATTCTATAAGAAAACTGTCTAGTGAAGAAGCTACTTTAATAGAAAACAATTTTTTTATAAGGAAACTGTCTAAAGAAGACAAATTTCTATAAGAAAACTGTCCACGGAGATATTTTTCGAAAAGATTGTCTAACGAAGACACTTTTCTATAAGAAAATTGTCCAATCAAGACATTTTTTTATACGAAAACGGTCTAAAGAAGACACTATTCTATAAAAAACTTTCTAGTGAAAAGAATGCTGTTTTCTTAAGTTTCTCTATAAGAAAATTGTCTACTGAAGACATGATTTTATACGACAACTATTTTCTATAATAATGAAAACTATTTTCTATAATAAAACTGTCTAAAGAAGACACTATTCTATAGAAAACTGTCTAAAGAAGATTGTTTTTTGTAAGAAAACTGTCTAAAAATACAGTATTCTACAAGAAAACTGTCTAAAGAAGACTGTTTTGTATAAGAAAACTGTATAAAGAAGATTGTGTTCTATTAAAAAACTGTCTAAAGAAGACTGTTTTCTACAAGAAAATTGTCAAAAAAAGACTGTTTTCTACAAGAAAACTATCTAAAGAAGACTGTTTTCTATAAGAAAATTGTCTAAAAATACACTTTTCTACAAGAAAACTGTCTAAAGAAGACTGTTTTTTTATAAGAAAACTGTATAAAGAAGACTGTGTTCTATTAAAAAAGTGTCTAAAGAAGACTGTTTTCTATAAGAAACTGTCTAACGAATACTGTTTTCTGCAAGAAAACTGTATAAAAAAGACTGTTTTCTACAAGAAAACTATCTAAAGAAGACTGTTTTATATAAGAAAACTGTATAAAGAAGACTATTTTCTATAAGAAAACTGTCTAAAGAATACTTTTTTGTAAGTTCTTCTATAAGAAAACTGTCTAACGGAATCACTTTTCTCTAAGAAAACTGTCTATTAAAGACACTTTTTAAAGAAGACTGTTTTCTATAAGAAAACTGTCTAAAGAAGACTGATTTCTATAAGGAAACTGTCTAAAGAAGACTGATTTCTATAAGGAAACTATCTAAAGACTTTTTTCTATAAGAAAACATGATTCCGAGGACATTTTTCTATAAGAAAAGTATCTTTTCACGATATTTTTCGATAAAAAAACTGTCTAAAAAAGCGGAATTTGTATTATCTTCAGAAGACAGCATTCCATAAGAAAACTGTCTATATAAAACTGTATTCTATAAGAAAACATATTTAAGAACACAATATTCTTTAAGAAAACGGTGTAATTAAGAAAGTTTCTTACAAAATTTTAAGGTTTTTTTTAAGGTTAGAAAATTTTATATGAAAAAGTTTCGTGATTTATTTAATTTATAGATTTTAATGTTAAGGAATATTTGCCAAACTGTATTTTTTATAATATTTAAGGTTTAAATGTTAACTTGTTTTTTTTTTTTTGTTTTTTTTTTTGGGCTTTTAAGCATTTAGAGGGTTTATCAATGAGATTCTTTAGATTTTAAAGGTTTAAGGTCTTATTGGTGTTGTTTTTCATTATAAATTAAGTATATAGCTTAAATAACTATAAAAATAAAAAAAAAATAATATGTTTGCAAAAACTTTTAATTATTACACTCTTTTTACGTTTGGCTTAACTTAGGTTTATAAATATCATACTAATATTGCAATATAAATAGTTTATGTTAAAAATAAATTTCTTTTAAAAAGGAATAATGAAAAGAAAATGTAAAAATGTTCAAATGTTTTTTTTTTCTCTATAAGTGATATACAGTTAAAGAAATTTATTCGTCTTGGCCGAATTTTGCATAAAACTCAATACTATTTCTTTATAATTTCAGGAAAATTTAGGGTTTATGTTAGCTATTCTTTAAAATTTAAAAAATATATCGTTTTTTTTTTTTAATAGTATTGAGTTATTTATAATTTGAGCAGATCACAGTTTTTTGTTGTG